CGTCTAAAGTTGCAAAGGTCGCAAAGGTGTTATTAGTTTTGCTTCGTTTATATTATTACTGAAATTATCGAATGTCTCGAACGTCATTTATTCCATCAAATAATCTAATTATGCTAATTGTGAAATGTATATCGTTTTCGTGATTAAAAGCTTTTCGATAGTGAATTTTAAATTGTATTGGCAGTCAGTCCGCTGCTCTCAACGGTTTAAACTGGAAGACAGGGAGAGAAATGTAGAATCTGGCAAATCTATCATTGGAATTATTCACATGATAATTAGAATAATTGCGCAATACGTCAGTCTAGAACACGTTACCGCAATGGCATTAAAAATTTATTGCTGATGATGCAAGCGCATGGCAAGTCGTTGAGTTTCGAAAAGAAAATAATTGAAGTAGGAAGAAACAACCGGAATGGCCAAAAAGAAGAGTCCAAACAGGAAGGATATTCATTCGATTTATTCATAACTGCGGATGTGACTTCGGTAGAGTTGGTGGAAATTTTACTGGCCTTCCTTTTGCCGCCAAACTTTCATCCAGCTGTAGCCTATTTCTTTCTCCACTATTTCGGCTGTACCATCATCCCTTCTCTCCGACGCCATCGACCTCGTTACAGAGAAGCCGCGGATTCGACGCAGCTGTCGGATTGGCTAGTTGAAAGTATATACTGCTTTCGCGAATGTGGAACTACCCTAGGGAACAAAGGGAAAGCGTAGTCGGAAGACGTGCTCATGAAAGGTGGAGGATTACAGAGGGGTGATGCGGAAGATGTCGGGGAAAGGGAAGAGAGGGGAAGCGGATTTCATGTATCGCTGCCAGACGGTGAGTTTTGTAGTGAAACTTTTATATGGGCCCGACCATAATCATGGGAAAGATAGTGGGCTATTTTACTAAAGAGGCCGCTCTCCCTTAACGCTGCCAAGGCATGCTCGATTGTGTTAACGGCAGTATCCCTGGCAGACTTGGTGAGATGCGGTGCCATTTCGCATGAAATAGAGCTAGGCCGTGACGCGGTCAAAAAAAAAAGCACGACATTTCCGGTAAATTCAGCCGGGATACGACCAATTTTGCCGGGAAACGAATGAAGTCAACTTAAAGTAGATTGAAGTAGAGATGAATGCCACGATAAGGATAAAGAATCTACCAAAATTAAATTTGTGATAGATCATAAACCTGTGTTTTTTTAATTGGCGTTATTAACGATATATCGCGTATCTTTTGCTAAACTGAATGCTAATAATTACTTTTTCAAATAAAAGGCTATAAGACCATAAAGACAGAGAAAAGAGAGAGAAAGTAGTGCAGTTTTCACAATTCATAAAATTGTAATGATATTCTTGAATTATTTTGAATACCTCATTGGAGTGTTTGATACTCATGCACTCGTGTGTCACCTCCGGATGATGTGTATAAAGATTGACTTTCCCTTAAGCGATTTCACACAGCTGACGCCCCCGTTTCTTCTTGCAAAATGTTTCTGCGTCCAATGTATCGACGCGATAAATCATCCAATAGAACTCATGATAAATTATTTTCACGTTTTTACTTTAATCTTTGTTTGAAAGTTTCCCCAACATGCTGCAAGATATCCGGAGAATACGCCAGTTATTGGATACAATCGCGAATTACGCAATCAGGAATCTAAACTGGCTTAGTTCCAGTTTAATCGTTTAAACATTCGTTAGTCTCAAAGCGATCCATGGCTTTGTAAAGCTATATTGCGAAATCGACTATTTGCGCGACTATTCGTTGCAATATGGAGAATCAGGAGAATCCGAATTTGCCTGACTTGCCTTCTCTATAAAGGCTTTGAAACGAGAGACGAACGTGCTTTCTCGAGGCAGAATGGGATGTTTAATAAGAGTAAGCGTACCAAAAAGAAATGGGGGATGGGTGGCGGCGGCGGCGGCGGCAGCGGCGGCGGCAACGACGAGTTTGGGGGAAAGATTCGTTGGCGGCGAAGGCATTGCCCGGGGCGGATACGTGCTCCAAAGGATATTAAAGTATTTTAATTGCAGCGGATCTCGCTGGAAGGATTTATTCGAAATCACTCGATTGAGTCTATGAATAGGGATTAAGCTTGGCCCCGCCGGCGCGGCGCGGTGTGGTTCGGTGCAGCGCCGTCGCGTCGAGCGAATTCCAGACGTCAGGAGTGGAAGGCAGAAATAATTGAATATTTAATAGGATAACTCACATATAGCCATCGCTTCCCATCGCAGCCGCGCGGCGTCATCCGTCACGACGACGGAACGTCGATTTTTCTGTCACGTCCCGTGGCTGCCGATTAATTATACAGTCTGCCCGGGCGTAATACGAAGACGGGGACGACTTTAATAAATCTAGTTATTTCGTAACCACTGCACACACAAAAAAATTATTTCACCGATCCCGTAGTACATCCTCATATAAAAGGCTGCGATCTCTCGTCCATGACAGTAATATTGCCACGAGAAAGGTATTGTCTGTCCAAAAGCAGAATTGGAGGAGAATACATCAAACGAGAGCCCGAGTGATCGGAGATATTCATTGCCGAAATATCGTACAAACGATTATATCGGTAACATGGAAGTTTAATTAATTTAACAACGAGGTCAGGATTATTTTCGAAGAGAAATCAAATTTCAGATATTATTAAAATTAAACAAATAATTAATGTCACAAACATAATATAAATGACAACATAATATAAATGACTGAATGTTTCATTATTATTAATTTAAAAAGGCTTTCATTTCAGAAGATCATTATTACGCGAACAATCGCGCACATGAACCAATAATATGCCAGTTCACAATTTTTAATTTTATCTTAATTATTATAAAACTATGTAGGTAAATTTTATTTTATATATTTCATATAAATAAATACTAAGAAAATTGTAGTGTATCACAGATAAAATTTTGCTCGTCGATACACATCGAATTTGTACTAAAGATTAACGTTCTTTATCTCTCATCGTTTACGTAAGAAATGTTAAAAACTTTTGTGGCATCAAGTGCTTAATTCCTCTATCGTAGTGTACGAAGAATATCCGCGATATAAAAAGTCGTAGCACGTCAAACGTACAGCTAAATCGTTACTTTAGAGCAGTATTTGGCAATAATTCTTGTGGAAATCGCAGTGCCTTCTGACGTTTGGTAATAACAGGTCGTCCATCATAGTTCTTATCACTCGTACGCGGCTGATCGCAGCAGAAAGTGACAGCTGCAGCTGTTCTCAGCGTTTTGTGTAACTCAATAACGAGATAAACGAAACTACACAATCAGTCCAATTTTTCGAATTCTCAGATTCTGCCTTGATAATACAACTTTTTTATTAATGCCCGAAGAGAATTTGTATATTAATTTGTTGCTCAATGTATACTGTCTGATGCAACATATGTGACAAAAAAATACTTAATTTTCGTCACACGTCCCCATTCTTCGTCTCAGTTCTTTAATTATAACGTAAAGTTGTATTATTAACACTAATTTCAGTTTCTAAAATAAAAAGATCGAAATAATATTATTAATATCTATTTTTTTTAATGGCAATAATAATTTAAATAAATAAGTGTATAGAGAATAAATTGTTTACAATAAATTTATTCATAATTAACTCATAATTCATGATTAATAATTCATTGTAACTTAGCGACTTATGGACAAACAGAAAACAGAATAACATTTAGCTATAAATCTTCAAGTCTTCTCAGCGTAATCATTTTTATATATATCCTTCAACTCTTCGAATATATCAAATAGTGTAGAAATGCGCACTTTATTTTCGTGACACTTTCATCGTACGACTTCGTCGGCGCATCAAGAGATGTATAGTTTTGCGCGAAGTTTTAACAGATAATAAATAACTCAAGACATAGAGACGGAAAGACGATCGTGATTCAGTCGAGATGTGAATGGAGCGCAGCGCGAATCTCTATCGAATCTCGAAATTGTTATTCGCGATTGTGATTTACGCCAACGATCTCGGTACTTCATCGTACTGGCGGCAAGCTGCGTCGTGAATAAGCTTCTCGTTTGAGTGCCTCTCCATGCTTTTCTGATTAATTCAAGAGAAATTGTAATTTCCACTCCTATCGTAGTAAAGTTGATCGAAAAGGCAGTCTTGCGTAAATACGCGGATCAGGCTACATAAAAGGGATTAAAAAGGTGTTTCTTAACGAGCAGAATACGAACGTGGAACGGCGGATTAAAAAAGTTGGTTGAAAAGCGATTTAATCAGCCGCGTTGAATTCAGGTTATTTTTTCGATGTGCACAGCACTGATCTTATGGAAACCATTAGTGAAATCGGACAAGCTGATTTTTCACATTAATGATAACTGACTTCAATTTGAATAGAAAAGATAAATAGAAAAGATAATATTGTAATATTATAATATCTAAATAAAAATAAAACCATTATTTTAATTTAGTTTTAGTTATTTCTAAATATCGATTAAAATTA